CCCCGCCCCGGTGGAGAGGGGACAGCTGTTCTGACTCATCTGGGCTCGGGCAGCTCAGGATCTGACCACCCGAGACCAGCCAGCAGGAAGGGAGAAGGAAGCATGGTCTGCCAGAAGTCCAAGCTGTCCAGTGCACCTTCCCGGGCACTGTGAAGTGTGTCAGGGTTTCTTTGGAATTTGTGGCCAAGTATTTAAGAGTTAACGTAAATAGGATAATAGATTACTCATTGTGTTTACTGCAATCAGCGGGAAATGACTAGCAAAGACACTCTACTAGGTGTGCAGCAAAAGCCACCTCTCTGACGGGAAGCCGCAGCTCGTGAGTGTGTAGGTCCTCACACACGTGGGTCATCTGTCTTTTCATACCTATGTCCCTGGCTTACCGTGATAGTGACCTTACTCAGACCTGTCAGCCACCATTTTGTTCCAGGCAGGTGGTTTAAACCCAAATCAAATGCCCTTCCATAAATTGGGCGCCTTCCAAAGAATAGCACTGATGATAACGACTATTCTAGAAAACAAAAATGAGAATAATGTTTTTTTTCATTTGCCTGTGAATTAGACCACCTTCCGATAACCAACTACAGGCACAGCAGGTGGTATGGTGACTAAGGCAGTGGTATCCCACACTGCTGGCAGCAGCCTGAGTCCCAGACCTGGCAGCTTGGAAACCATGCCAAGTATGCACATATGCCCAAAACCCCAAGGGGAGAATGGAGAAGGGGTTGCGCCCTGGCCATCCCCCCTGGGGAGTGATTTCTCACTTTCCCTCTCCCTGTCTTTCTCTGTCTCCCTCTGGTGAGCACATGTGCCCTGTGACAAAAACCTTTAAAAAAAAAAAGTAGTGAGCTAAAATTGAACAAAATTAGTTTACTCCTTTAAAACTTAGCTACTTCAGCAAGCACGTATGGAGTGTCATCTTCATGCCAGGAGCACTGCTAGGTAACGTGGCACAGGTAGTTTGGGCAGGCAGAGGGAGAGCGGATGACTAACAAGGATCGTGCCACACAGGGGAGAGGGATGGAAGATGGCCCAGAAGTCAGAGGGGCGGGGTCAGTGTTGGCCACCATCCGCCTATTTCAAGGCAAGCTTCTTAATTTCCTGCATCTGCAGAATGGAAATAATATTGCAGCTTCACAGAAGTCCCAAGGGTTAAACGAAGCATTGTGCACACATGCCTGGCTCAGGGCTGCCGCCAGGTCCGTGCCTCCTGTGTGAGGGAGATCAGGTCTTAGCAGGACCCTCCCTCCTTGTTCCCTAAGGCCTGTCTTTAAGATCCCTGCCTTCTGGTTTGGTGTGCGTGAGTACTCTGGTGAGCACCAAGGCCTGCGGGAAACACATCAGCAGACCAACTGCTTTCTAAGATGGCTGGACGCAGAGGAACATCTGGAGGGCCAGTGTGGAATCATTCAGAATAACAGGGGATTTTGAGGTCATGGTGTGGGACAAAGAGAGAGATGGGGAAGGGAAATGAGGCACGTGGGCCTCAGGACCCTCCACTGGATCACGCTCCAGGGTCCTGGCACTGAAGCCTTGCCTGTCCCTCCCCCACCTCCTGCTTTTTCAATTCCCCCCAGCCCTTCCCTAAGCTGCACTCCACCCCAGACCCTCCTGGGCCTGGCAAATCCTGGCCCTCCTTGTCCAACTCAAGGCAAACTGCCATTAGTCCTTCAGAATCTAACCTGAGGAGCCCCTCCCCTGAGAGTGGCCCCGCCTGCCAGCTTCTTCCATGGCTTGAGTTTAGCTTTGGTTGGGTGGCTTTTCTTTTTCTTCTTTCTTTTTGTAATACAAATCATAGAGAATACAAAAGCCACGCTCAAACTCAGCATTCCCCTCTGTGCTGAATAATGCAGGGAAGCAGTTCCTGACCATGGCTTTTCCCCCTTCCATTCTGACCACAGTCCTATAACCTGTAGTCACCTAGTCACCTCACCTAGTCACCGTATTGATCCCTACCCACAGGTGAGGAGACTGAGATTCAGAGAGGTCAAGTATCAAAACAGAACTTCTCCTGAATCCACACCCAGGCCTCTGGCTTCTCCCTGGGAGGAACAAGCCCAAGGGTGTGGAGGAGGCCTATGAGGCCTAGCTTGTAGGTAACTTGAGACTGACAGCTTCTAACTTGCTCTGTGTCCTTGAAGAGGCAGCTTAACATCTCTGGGCCTTAATTTCCTCACTAAAGAAAGGGCTTGGACTCGGAATCTGGTCCACACTAGTGTTTCAGTCCCCAGGTCCCTCCTTTCACAGCATGGAGTCACCAGTTGATAACGATCAGGATAACCTCAGAACATTTTCCTTCCTGTCACAGAAAGATTTTGCCACAGATTTCCTCATTTCCCAGAAATTCCAAGGAACAGAAGGGGCTGTCATAGGAAAGAGACTGAACGATTTCTCCCTTCTCCATGGAAGTTCAGGTCTGGGTCCCAGTTTGCTGTTGGCCACACCGGGGCTCCCTCTGTCACCTCTGAAATGGAGTGATGGCGGTCAGGCTGGAAGGTTGGGTGATGCGCCCTCGAGGGACGCAGAGCAGCCAAAGGAGCTGGGGTTACAAAAGGCCAGAAATCAAAGGATAGAGAGATGCCAGAACAGTGGTGACATCTCTGAGAAAAGCAGGTGCCAGGGAGACGAAATTTAGTAGCTAAGTGGGAGACAGAATCCACAAATTAGGTCTTCTCTGCAATCAAATTTTTTGAGGAAGCCATGTCCATAGGCCATCAAAGACAGGTGTACCTGACCCAGGGCCTTGGCCACCCTCTCCCCGGTCATCTCCTTGGCTGACTTAGCCGCTCCACAGAGCTGGAAGGGATGCAGGACAGCAAGATATAGGGCTATGATTTATTGCACCAATGTAAGTGCGTGTATGTGTGCGTGTGTGTAGGAGTTACTCAGAATCCAGATGATCCACCCTGTAGCACTCTCCTCCGCTGTTTTGTCAAGGTTCTAAATGAAGCGTCATCTGGTACTCAAGGGGCCATATTTCAAGAGTTCCGAGAAGTGTCACCTTCCCCGCTTTGGTAGAATAACAGGAAAAGACGTGCTTAAAGCACAGTGCGCTTGGTTCTGCAAGTGTGGATCCAATGACATGTTTGTCTCCACAAGTGCATTTTATAAGAGCACTGTGAGATGAGGGGTAAGGAGTTCGAGACCTCTGGCCCAGGCCCGGCCTGTTCCAGGAGCCCTAACGGGTCTTCCTGCCACCTGGCCCTCAGAGTTTTTCTTTCAACATGTGTCCTATAGAAAATTAAATAATAGTAACAATACAAATTTTTTAAAAGAAAAAGAGTACCCCAGCTGCTCTTTGTCTTCTGTTAGTTTTTACAGGAGGAGCTGTTGAATTTTCATTAGGAAAAATGATTCCTTTGTCTCTTAGTGGCAGACCCGCCTCCTCGGTCTGATCGCACATGCTCTTTTCTGCAGTAAAGGTTTGGCTTGCCCTCTGTCTGCTGATGCCAAGCCGAGGGTGTCTGCCTGCCCAAACCCTCTCAGACCCTGCTGCCCTCTGTGCTTGCTGAGAGCCGCATGCTCTTTGAGTTGCTGTAGAGAGCGAGGACGCCTGCTGGGGACGGATGTGGGTTCCTCTAAGTCTGGTCTGGCTCTCTAGGCCTGTGCTTCCCCAAGTGAGGAATGTGCAGGGCTGGCGGTACACAGGCCTGGCCCCAGTTGGCAGTGAATTGCACATGTGTGAAAGTGTCTCCTTTTCCCAGCCGCTGATCACTCCCTCTACTTATGTCTAAGAGGATGTCACCTTGGGGGGGGGGGGCCCTGTTTTTACCATTGGGATCACTCACAGTCAC